TTTATCGAATCAACTGCAAATACATGTGATAGGAATGATTCAACACCTGTCCCAGATATATGGAAAATTCTACTGCCCATACAACAAATAGGAGAAGACAGAGAAAACTATAAAAATCAAATCTCGAAGTCGTGTGACAAAAATTGATATGATTATGAACAATAAATTGTGTTCGAAACGTCATCCAGTATACAATACTGTTTCACTGTGTGATACATTTAATAATCAAACTAATATGGAATTATCTTTTACTTATTTTGTCAACTCATTCTCTCAACTGCACTTTTAACACGTTAATACCGGATTTCCTAGAATTTTATTGGCTTATAAGTCAGTAATAACTTTCCAATATATTGAAGGAGTGTCAGGTGAAACAACGATCGCAAGTACTGCGTACGAATCATAGGATTCCCCCCAAAATAAATTAATAACTTTGCCCTTACTGCGTTCAGTCTAGAAGATAGAGTTGTACAGTGGAATCTACGAAAGAGACTAAGATTAGATTCAAGACACCGAGCAGTTAGTGCCATGAAATCAATTATTTTATGCACTTTCATCACAAAGATATTAGATACTAAATACTGTTCAAACATTAAAGCAACGTAATTTATTCACTGTCAAAAATTTATAGTCATCAACCCAACCAATCTTAACTCCATCCATGCTCATTTAATCAAGGTAGTAAAACCTCTCAAAGCATTCTAGAATAAGTGGAGAGGCTTTAGTAATAAATACCTGAGTCTGTTGACAACAGTATTTGTCAAACAGAGATTTCCTATATTTTAATGATAGGGTATTTGGTTTATGTCAACGTATTTACGGTTAAAACCTTATTCCAGACTGTTGATGCACTCCCTATCTACCGTATGCCTTCTAACAATCTAGTCAGTTCACTGGTTATAGTTTCCACTCAATTTTTACAAATGAACAAGAAGACTTCTTTATGATACATCTGGACATGAAGATAGTTTAAAACTCCACCCTCGTTAGGCATTTTATAATTGACCAACCACATAACAATGGTTAAATAGATCGGACAGTGAAACTGTGATGGGCTGAACAAACTTTATGAGCAGTCTCTCCCGCTCATCATCCATCCTTTTGAGTATCGCCGTGACACTATACTTCTTACTCTGATGGATCCCATAGGAAGATTAATTTTAGATGCTAACGCGACAATCTAATGCTATTTTGTCGTTCTCTCTTCAGCCAGGTACAGCCTAAAAGATCAACGAAATATATGTACAACGAACATTTTAACGTACTTGCACAGGTGATGTGATATCAGTCAACAGGAGACGTCAAAATTAACAGTGTGCAAATTTGAAATGTTTAGAGACATTAGTAAAGGAGTTTCGCAATAAATGATATCATCTTATTTTGCACGCACCACTGTCGTTCCTTCATTCGAATTTATAAAAGGTAGTAAATGTGTGAAACATGGAAATTTATTATTAACCATTCAATAAAGTTCAATAGCGAATAAAAGCTCTATATAAAATAGAAGCTTATTTTCTAACTAGCATTTACTTTTGTCAGTTTGAGCCTTTTATCCTTTCTAGGTCTACCGTTTGTGGCTTCATTTTTAGGAGCATTCCTACTGGTTAATACGTGTAGGTCAGTAATGGTTTAATAGCAACATCATAGTGGCCTAAACAACAGAACACAGTTTTACATGTTTCCGATCCGAACTCGTCAGCAGATTCAATAATGACTTGAGTTTGAGAGACCATGAAAAACTGAGTGAGGAAAAGGGTCTTTCTGGAAATCTTTATGTCGTGCAGAAGTACACTAAATGTGACACATTTCAAACGCTAAAGAGGACTAAAGAACTGGCTAAACAAGCTGACTCACAATCGTACTTGGCTGAACGGCCGTTGACTATCGGTGGAATTGCTGTATCACACCACCGATCTGGTAATGATAATCTGTTAACCTTAAACGTGTGGTGTTTAGAACTTTCATTGAAGCTAAAGTCAATCAGTTTGTTAGTCGCTGCTGAAGACAGTTGTTATGGGAGATAGGTATTGAAAATTCGTACTAGGCTGTTCAGCTGTTTTGAAGTTTGTGTAATAGGTGCGTATAACTTTGAGCATTGTAGCCATAACAACCAATCTTTTTAGTGATAGCACCTTAAACTAAAAAAATAACATCAAAATACAGAACTTACTGATAAGCAGAACTAATCTAATAAGTAGAACAAGTGTATCATACTAGTAAAAACGTGAATAAGTGAGAAGACTTAACAGCATTCCAAAGACAGTTTAACACAGAGCATTTGCTGTGGAGAGTTTCACTATGACTAATTTATATGAACTGAGGGACAACAAAAGTAGTATGACTCACATATCCTGATATTCCTACTATCTGAGTTTATCTGCCAATAACCTCGACTAAATTACTAACCAGTCCTACACCCGCCTGCGAGTAGCAATGTATAAAACTCTAGGTGCAGATATCAAAACTAATGGGTGATATGAATGTTACACCTGGATTGTCAATAGTCAGTCGTACATATCAACAAGTCAAACGTGTAGTAAATAAACACTTTCTTTGTTGAGTACTGTTGCAAATTAAGTTCCTACATTGGTCATGAAAATGAGTGGAAAGCTTTCCATTATATATTTATAGATAAAGACAAGGGAAAAATTTCTGAAGAACTATTGCACTTCACCGTCCCTTTTATTCTTAGCCTATATGAATAATCAGTTAGAAAACTTAGACTCCTCGTTGTCGATTGTGATTACTTCAACCTTCATAAATTAAATTAGGGTAGGATTCAGTTGTATCAGATTCTTGCAAAATTTAAGTGATGAAGTGGTTGACGTAATTCAACTGCTGACATCGTGAACAAAAGTGCTGGAAAGGAAAAGAGACGCTTATACGACACAAAAGTAAATGAAGAAGAACAGACCCCACAATAACCAAGTCTCTAAAAGGGAAGGTATTAACACAGATGAGACACGTGAAAATTGATGAAGGAAAACCAATCACCAAAATGAGCAGAAGTGAGGAAACACTTAGCTTGTTATTTCAAAAGACTCTGGAATGGACAACTTTCCCCTCGTCCAAATATACAGTCAGTAGACGCAGAACTACTAGTCAAAACCAACCTTCGACTAAAGCATATGTCTTGAAGACCTTAGAGTTACTAAAAACCAGAAGAAAACCCTTTCAAAAGCACTGGAGACGAATCCAGAGACCTCGGAGGGTATGGTCACAGTGCAACTGCAGGTATACAAGGAGAGAAAGGTATCGGCTGGAAGGCCACCGTGAGAAAATTCTAAAGAATAGGGAACTATGTCTACACACAAGAACTTGTACTGAATCGCGCTTCTGTTTATTGTAACTAAAATTGAACCGCATTACCCTCAGTGAAACAAATTGCGAGACTAGGCATTATTATCGAACAGAGTATAGGAGGGTAGTCAATTCTGTTTCCTAACTTCAACTTTTAGAAGACCATCGATCATGAAGTAATCTGCAGAATTCCTCAACAGATCGGAATGCAGTACTTCAAGCAGAATAAACCTCTCTAAACATTTACGCAATCGTCTCATAAATCAATTAGTTCACGGGTGGTTTATTTCATGTAGCATAAATTCTAAGCTATAAGGGCAAAAACCATGAAGTTTGGAAATGAAGCAGTGAGGACAGAAGTGACGAAGATACTCAAACTACAGCAATAATCACCATACACAAGAGAAACCTAAAGGATATCGTCTCCCTCACTTATCTGGACAGTATCATTTGAACTACAGGAGGCACATGGATAAGGTTGCGACAGCCAGTTACGATCAGAAAAGCAAAACAGAACTTCATTAATCTGAAATTGGTATGGAGTTCAGTAGCACTCGGTATAAGATCCCGATTTTCAAAATCAATATCAAGTCAGTGATTTTATTTGGTTCAGAGATTTAACGTAGATATGACTGTATATCTGCGAAGCGAATCAACTAGAGAAGATCAACCAAATAACTTGTATTAAGAAGTACTGATAATACTGAGGTTATTTGTTTCTGGACTCCTGGAAAGTTCTTTTTATTCCTTTACGTTCCTAGTGGGACATAGGGTTTCAAGCTATAGGCTTGAAGTTTCAGTAGCAGTGGTCCTTACTTTTACGGGATGGGGCCACTAGCATCGTGCTCAAACTTCCCCTCTTCACCAGTCTCATTATCGGCTTAGTTAGGCAAAGGAGTGCATCGGTCAACGATCAGACCTCGGACCACATGAGCGGTTGGCACGCATACTACCACTGTGCCACTGACGCACCTGGAGAGTAAGTAAGAAAAAATATAAAAGCGATAGGTCACTTTCGAAGGTATGACTACAGATGAATCAGAAATGCTTTAATTGTTCCCAAAGGGCAATCCGCTTTCTCTAGGAAATAACCAAAACCCATTCTATGTATAGACACTCAATTTTACAAAACAAACCTGCAGATATTCAGTCGCATGATCTTTATCGTAATCGATATGACTAACTGCATTTTAATTCCTTTGATACTTCACGTAACTACATAGTACCGTTATGTGATAACAAAAAGAGGTGAAGATGGGGCAACCACGGATAACATTCCCTGATTACTGAACACTAACAAACGACTTATATGACAATTATCTTGCTTTAAAACAAGCAACTGAAAGTCCCAAGATTACAAAAACAAAACAACCAACTGTTAGCGTTATTACTTTCGAAAAGTTATTTTATAATTTTGGTGATCGACTGATAGGAGTGTGAACAAACCCGTAGAAAAAAATTGAACGGGGCAAATTATTCTCTGCTGAAAAAACTTAGAGTGAATGTGGATAACAAAGAATAATGATATTAGTGTGCTTATACAGGTGAAAAGGCAACATGAAAAATACAACAGCAAAACCAAGAAAACAGAACAGGATCACATGTTCGAAAATCAACAGTACTTCAAATGTTCACAAATCTACAGTGAATTCAGAGACATTACGTCACAATGGAATCTATTGTTGAAACAGGAAAAATTCTTAGGGTTGATATCCACCCATTGTATCACCAGAGTACACACCGCCAAATCCCGCTCGGATATTACCGACATGATAATCCATATTTGCATGCCCAGTAGGAGTGTCGGGATCCAATGGTCCTGGCCCTGTTGCATCGAGCATATTTGCATCATTGGAAAAGCCGTGATAGCCGGGTGAATTATCAGTTTCTCCGTAAGCAAAGTTAGAACATAGTGCTTCAGTTGCCTTATATGACTTGTATGTAAAATATCCGAGAATAATCTAAAGACGAATAAAAGAACATTATTTCACATTTATGTTTTACATTCCACTAATGAGATTAGTGGTCAATAATTGGATTTGTTTGCATCAATTGTCAACGATATGAGCCATCACAGAAGATCATTTTTAAGTGAAGCAAATCAGCATTTCAGTTCGGTTTTTTCGGATTATCGGTTGATAACACCGACCGATTATGCATACTTTTGATGGAATAGGCTCATTCATTTTATGAAAAGCTGGCTATTGTTGTGATGATAGAATAATAAATGAACAGAAAAATATGAAACAACTAAAGTTAATCTTGGCTGATCAAACTGTTGATTCAGCTAAAATACAAAATACAGCTGTGTACAACTTTTGAAGCTTATAAAGGAAATACTTAAAATTTATATCAGTATGTAACCAAGCGATGTTCGAAATCACGATCTTACTCTCACTTAAAGATTACTTATCTTGTTTATTAAACGAAAGACCTATTAAAAGAAACAATAAAACAAACCTACGCAAGACATTAACTGGTTTCTGATGATTCTCTGGAACTTACCCATACAACCATAGTGAAGAATGTGAAGGCAATGGCACTACGAGGTCCATCCGCAGAAACAGCATTATGCGTAAGAAAATCTGGTTTCGTGTTTTGCCAGCGATTACAAAGCAAACAAAATGCAACCAACCACAGGAAACTCCATAAACCTGTCAATTAGAAGACATTACTTGATTAGCTATTTAAAAAACTTTAGCTTTGCATTTGTTGGGAATAGAAAATTCAGGAATGCTTTAATTCGTGCCTAATAAGCTTTCTGATAAATTTTCTGCGTGCTGTAGAACCACTCTTATTTAGTATTTAACAATATACACTTGATACAATATGAAGGATATGGAGACTAGATATCGTTGAGGAGCAATGAGGTGACTCAAATTTTCACGCAGTCACCTAAAAGCCTTCATTGGCAATGCTTACTTATCTTAACTAAGTAAGCTTAACATTTCATAACAAGCCAGTTGTTATTCTGACTACAAACAATGTGAGCAAAATATCCATCTTTCTCTATCACTCTGACCGCAAGAAACATCTCATTACATGAAAACAAAAGTTAATCTTCGATGCACGGAATAATCTCCGGAAGGATCATGTGATGAAGTAGGTTAGAAGTCAATCATCCTTTATAGATTCCTGTACGCACTTAGTACAGATAAAAACACACTAGTGTAAAGCGAATGGTAGTAAATATTTTCAGAAGTAGTAGTAACAACTATATATAATATAGTGAATTAAAGTTGTAGATGAGAGTCTTGCTGTACTTAATCAGCAAAACAAACACCCATCGATGAAATAAGAAAACCAGTTAGGATCAACATTTATCATAGACAGTTTCTGTTAGTTTACCAAATTTTCAAATATTTCGAATCACAGTGAAAATGTAATGAACCACGATGACAGTTAAATGTCCTAGTATCTATAATAAATAGCTTAGCCGAAAGACAAGCAGCAATGTGTCAACAATGAAGATAAGTTGCTGCTATATTGTATATTCAGTAAGAAAACCCACTCCAATAAATATTTAGACTTCGGAGCATTACACCCCATCAGCGCAAAGGTATCAGTTGTTTCAAGTCTTCTTAGACGAGCACACTTTTTGATAACGAATGCGAAAGAGAAAGAAGAAACATCCAACATTACTGGGACTCTCAAGCAAAACAACTACCCGAAGAACTTCATCAACAAAATCAACACTGACATCAAGTATGGTCGAAAACGAATTCCGAAACATGGACCTCAACAGTTGTCATTCCATATAGAACAGAGACGTCAGACGATATCAAAAGAATACTCAATAAGCAGGACATTAGAGTTTTCTTCAAAACATCAGACTCACTGCGAAACAACCTTGTCCATACAAAAGACCAGATGGAAATGCAAAGGAAAGCTATAGTGAATAAGTTTGGTCTTGATAAAAGACTGGTAGGTAACAAAATTAAACTGTTGTATGAGGAATATTAAGACGTATCCGAACATCAGTGAATTTTATTAGTTACTAACATGGTTGAAAAAGTGTTACCATTACTGTCTAAAAGTCACAAAGTAAACAAGCAAAACGTTTGCTTGATACTATACAAAGATGCTATCTATTTATCTGTAAAGTCTAAGACTAACAATTTAGCGTCAACCATTAAGTTTATCATAATCCCCTTTAGTCACTTAAGTAATCCGCACTAATTACTCTCACGAGTTTTGCCGATCAAATATATCCGTCTAAATAGTTATGATTCTCATTTCTCTTTGCATCTTAACATCTTAAAATACGCTTTAAAATCCCCGGAAATACCGATTAAGTCAAGAAGAAAATAAAAGAGAAATTCAGCGGAAATTTTCTTTATCGAAGAAATCATCATCAGAGGCTGTACAGTCGTATTTATATTCACCAAAGATGTATTGTGGTCTATTATTGAGTAATAGGTGGAAACATAATTGATATAATTACTCGGAAGTGGCTTTAGAAGTAAGAATAAGAGTTGTAAATCACGTGGTACTCAACGGCACAAAGTTAGAAATTTGATAAGGTTAAAATAGCTATTGAATGAGAAGCAATAAGCTTTATGACATAGCATACATGATACTTTCATCTCAAAGATATGATTACAACCTGCGGTCAATTTCTAGATGAGCACAAAGCTTCAGCACACTTTATACGGAAAATGGACAGCATAGGTTGACAGCTGAGAATACGATTTGCCTAAAACTTGCTTAGGGGAGACCAAAACCCCATTGTTGAAATACAATGGTTAGCAGGTTTCAATTCGAATCAATTCACGCGTGTAGAGACTGTTCAATTTATAAAATGTGTTCTCACATTTGACAAACAACTAAAAGTATCTACTTGAATCACAAAAATTAATCGAAATTCAAACCATGGCACATGCTTACACCAGTTATTAAAAGCAACAATGACATCACTCAGTTTCAAAACTGCTTACAATATACGATTCACACTTTAGTGTGACATACATCCTTCGACAAAGTTCCATGACTCAAATACAAATTTCCTTGTAGGATTTCAAATAAAACCAACCCACACGGTTTGGACGTAAGTGACACCACCACCACGTAAAAAGTAACAGTATCAAGCTTCAAACTCATTTTTCATGATAGGTCGCATATTATTCCTTCATCCAAGGTGAAAAGATACTTCCTCAAGAACATTAAAGAAGTTGAACACTCTAAAGCTGGCGTAAAAGAAAACGAATAATACTTCTTATCGAAATATTAGGCTGAAAAACAAACTATACCCTCACGTCATCTCCCTACCTCTAATCTGTGACCTTGACCTGTAAACAATTGGAACTATTCATTATAATAAAGGTTTTTGTAGTTCCCAGTGAATGAAACACAAAACGATATTGGGAAATACAAAAGACCTTTATTATAGTGAATATCATACACCAAATGCCCAAATTTTTTTAAACTGTTAAAAGTGATCTTGGTTTGGACAATTTGAACAATATTGTAATAATTTATGCTCTCCTGCCTTCTATACAAATGTGCACGACAAGTACGCGCGTCCGAAATATGTTGTGCAAATACATTACACGTTTCAGATGAAATAGATATTCCTATTGTTTTGTCGAAATGTATCAAGGTATTTTAATTGCCTTAAGAATCAATATGTTAAGCCAACAAAAAAATAATGTGGTACAGAAAATTACCTTAAGGTCAATTGTGCCTCCAATTTCGTAATGCTTCAACATTAAAATACAAATTGAATACAACAACGTACTATTTACACGATAGTTTATCGAACCAATAAATCAATAAGACTATAAGAGGAACTATTTAAATTACGCAACTAGGTAGGAAAACGTTAGTAGTGACTGTTCCAAATTCACTTTTAAATATGCATAAGAAACATTCACATTCTGAAATAATATCATGATGAAATCACCTGGAGTTTTAGAGAGAAGAATTAACAGCGAGTCATTTAGCATGGGAGCCACGGTGCAGACTTGACTGATAGAACTTAGTCTGTACCAAATTGATTAGACACATGACATTAGTTACAACCTAGTGTCCAATTGGAATATTCATTACAATCCTACAGGTCAGTCGCGAGTCTAAATAACTCTGTGGTAACATCTCTGCCTGCAGCACCGGGTGCTGCGGGTTTGAATTTAAGATGGGACATGAGTTTTTTCAAGACTGCAGAAACGCTTGGCTGACTAGTGAGTGCCAACAAGTATGAAACCCAGGTCCAAGGCCTCTTGCCGATTGCTTCCATACATATTAGTTGGATTTTTACAGCTTTATACGCATTAACTAAAAAATCTTACGATAAAGACCAACTCACTAAAGAATTTATAATATTCGGTCGATTACAGCACGAAACGAAAATTTACGTTATTACTCTTATGTGAAAATGTCAGGTTATACGGCTACAAAGGAAAATGCGTAGGTGATACTACTTCCCTTAAAAAATAATGACTTCAACTTATCGATTCTTATCTCTATCTCTAACTAACTAACCACTTACCAATATATTTCTAGAATTATGAACCTAATTGTATGCAAAACCTACTCGCACGATCTCCATGTCACCCTTGGACGACCCACTCGTCACTTCTCATACACTCGAATGTTGGCCTGGCGCGCAACGTCATTCAACGGTCTCCTCAGTGAATACTTGATCCATCTCCATTTTCTTTTACATATTTGGTGAACGATAGGTTCTTAGTTAGTTTGTTCCCGTAGTTTCTTGTTCCTAATTCGTAATCTTCAGCATGGAGTGAAGGCAGATGTTGATAAAAGTCTGAGGCGGCCTGTCGGAAATCCTTTTCGTGACACACAGTGCAAGTTTCTGACCCGTATAGAAGAACTGACTTCACATTGGTGCTGAAAATCCGAATCTTGTTGTTTATGCTGAGTGCAGATTTCCAAAATGATTTGAGGTTGATGAAGACGTATCTTACCCTGCCGATTCTGGCTTTAACATCTTCATCTGCTCCGCCTGCTATTAAAACGATGCTGCATAGATATGTGAATGAAGTGATCTCTTTCAAGTCTCTCCCATTGATACTGATTGGTGCTTGTTGATGTTGGTTGGTTATCTTCATCGCCTCGATCTCTTCTAAGTTAACTTAAATTCCGGTCTTTGCTGCTTCTTCTGAGAAATTGTTGGTTTGCGCCTGTAAGGTTTCGAGTTTATTTGACATAGGACAAGAATCGTCCGCTAACTCCAGACCTTCCAGAGTATTCTTATTGGTCAGACGTATTCCTGTCTTTTCACTCCACACAGTCTGACGCCTAATCCAGTCCACATAGATTAGGAATATCATTGGTGATAATAGACACCACCTGCATGCACTCGCTGAGTTTTTCAACAAAATAATTAGTCAAGCAATATCGCATACGGCGAATTAAGTGATACAATCATATCATGAAAACCTCCCACTATTGGGCTAACTGAAAACCAAGTGGTGAATCACAGTTGAGCTTGCCACCTAGATGGCACTGAAAAAATAAAACTTGACCACATTGAAACCTGACAAATAAGAGTTAAATCTTAGTGGAAAGCTCAGAAAACAAAACAAGAATTCTAAAAGAGAATTTGGAACAATGCAAAAGAAAGCAAGCTTCTTGTTGTTGACTAGACCTCGTCAAACTTCAACATAAAATTCATTACATCATAAGAATTAAATAT